TACGTCACTGTGGTTCATAAGATCGACAGTAATCGTGCATTTCGTCAAGCTCCTCGCAGCATCCCTTCATTCTTTTTTTTTTAAGCGCAGAGAAAAGAGTGGGCGGCTAGCATGTCAACGAATGATCGATCCCATCAGTCCCTTTCAGAGACCCTTTATAGCCTCACCAATTCTGCTCCCACAGTCTTTTCCCTGTGCCTACTGCTCTACGCAGAGAGATTCTATATATGCAGTCGGATTTGATGAGAACAGATGTGCCAAACCTTCCTAAGCGTACCTTTAATCTAATGCCAGGAGACGTCCGGGATGAATGTAAACAGGTACGCTGTACCCAACGTGAGGATGCAGATTCAGATCCTCCATGAACTCCATCCAGTTTTGGTTTAGCAAACAATGAACTGCTGCTAACGGTCCCATTCCAGAACGTGACTGAGCGGAGAGTTTAGAGATTTGGTTTATTTGTTGTATTTATTTTTACGTCATTGTTTAAATGGAGGGTGATTAATATCTAATGTTGCTGTGGTATTGTGTTTGTTAAAAAAAGACAATAAGATCAAAACAAACAAACCAACAACAGCGTGTTGCATTTCTTGCCCCTTGAATTTTGAACACTAAAGAGCCCATATCCTACATCTTAAGTCGATCAGTGTTATGTTTCAGTCGTAATTCATATTTATGTGGTGTTTTTGTTACTGTGGGTCGTTTAGATCTAGTATATCGCAGTCAGAAGAAAATCTCATGTCTCCAAAATATTAACTTTACAGGAGAAGGAAAAAACATACTTCACTTTTAATGTAAGTCAAAGGAACCTGACATTTTTCCAAGTCATTTTGGGCTGTTTGTTGTGGTCCATTGATCATGAAATGTAAACACAATGTAAAGGACAACAGGTGTTTTCAAATTATGTCAAAAACTGAAAAATGACAAAAATGGAGATACAAGGTTCTTGTAAATGAGCTCTGTTATGATTAGCTGACTCCTTCACAAGAGCCCTGTATAAAACCCCGAGGTCATGCTGTCATTTTGTAAGTGGCATCATGCCGGTATAAGGATCTCTAGGTTTAAGCTGGTACTCAGGGCAAAATGTACAGAATTGGGGGTGATATTGACAATTTTTTATTTATTTATTTATTTATTTATTTTTTCTGTAAGCAAAACCATCTTAAACCTGGGGTTCCTAATATGCACGACTTCAGGGGTCTATTTTGCCTCATTCAGAAAGACTGTCTGCAGTAACAGCACTCCTTATCGCTATCACATGAGCAGACGTTAAAATGCTGCAGGCTGAAGGCATATGTGAATGTTTTCATGGATATGACATCACAACCCTGATGAATTCAGCACAGGCTGTTTGGCTGCTTAGTCTCCATAATTTGAACAGTGCTACATCAACCCTAATATTCCTTCAAATTAAGGAAAATTTGTTTTTCATGATATCCGCCCTTTACATTTTTTAAAAACAGAGTTTTCCTCGCTTTTTGAGATTAAAAGGTTTGGTGTAGAAATGTAAACCTTTCAAAACCATCAGTGCATGTATGAAAACTGAGCTGCAGAATCAGCTTCTAAATTTGTTTTTGTGACATCACAAAAACCAACACATTGACAAATATGCCATATTCAGCCCACAGTAGTTTAGCCCAGCCCACTCACACTCTACAGCCTAGAGGGCTTTTTGAATGAGGCAGCCAATCAGAACAGAGCTCATTTGCATATTCCAGTCTTAAAGGCACAGTAACAAATACAGTTTAATCGAAGGGGGTAAAACGAGGTTGAAACAAGCTCAGCAAAGATGAATTATAACTTTTTTAGGCCTATTTGAATACAAAACTGTCAGAAGTCAAAGTCAAAGGGAAAAATAAAACATAAGTATGACATGTATGATATGGGCTCTCTCTCTCTCTCTCTCTCTCTCTCTCTCTCGCTCTCTCTCTCTCTCTCACTACCTCCACCTTCCTAGAAGTCAACTGATCTGATTGAATATTGCTAGAAAACTTGCCCTCAGTTTTCTGTCCATCCTCTCCTCGGTCACACGCTCACATCTCTGCTACAGACGACACAGAGGCTGTCAGTTTTCTAATCATGTTACTGAGGGAGCCACGCAGACTGCGCCAGAGCAGCATCTCCAGCCAATGACATCACACAGACCACACTCAGACACCCTTATTTCCCGTCCTTCAGGAAAACCATTTTGGATGACCACTGCCCGATCACAGTCCGATTCCCACGGTCAGTCCGCGTCACGGTCCGGCTAAACTTCCTCTGCCGCAGTTTCATCAATCAATGACATTCCAAGGTCATCCGTGTCAGGACTGCAAATAATCGGAGCCCACTGTTACAGCAGCTCTGCCGACTACGCCACAACGCAAACCACCGAGATCACACAAAAGCGTATTGGTGCATATAAAGGAGATAAAACGTTTAGGTGTGGGTCTTCCATCCCCCTCCATCCCTCCATCCCGTCCCTCCCTTCCTCGCCCCCTCTTTTCTTTCAGAGTAAGATAGTAATAGGAGAGGATTTGATGATAAAAATCACGTTGTCAAGGCGACAGGTTTGCCGCTCTGAGGGTATTCCTGTCACGACTGCATCGCTATGCCGCCGTAACCCTGGCAACCCAGCGCTCCTCAGCATCCGCACCAAGAGCACCAGGTGAATGCAGCGAAACATCACCCACTGTGGTCAGACAGCACAAAGCTAATTAGACGCGTCAGCAGTGGTCCTCACCTAACGTGAATTAACAAATTATGTCGTCATTGAGGAAAATCCCTTTAAATGTGCTAAGCGCTGTTATGAGTGCACCACATCCACTGGCCACTTTATTAGAAACACTTACATTATATTTGCCCTGAATGGACACTTTATTAGAAACCCCTACCTTGTTCTTCCACTCCCCGGCCACTTTATTGGAAACACCTACCTTGTGCTTCCACTCACTGGCCACTTTATTAGAAACACTTACCTTGTTCTTCCACTCACCGGCCACTTTATTGGAAACACCTACCTTGTTCTTCCACTCACCGGCCACTTTATTGGAAACACCTACCTTGTTCCTTCATTCACTGGCCACTTTATTAGAAACACCTACCTTGTTCTTCCACTCACTGGCCACTTTATTAGAAACACCTACCTTGTATTTCCACTCACTGGACACTTTACTGGAAACACCTCATCTAAACAGACCTCTCATGCACAATTTGTCAGCCACTAAAAGAGTTTCTGTCAGCCAAACAAGTAAACCTAGTTTTTCACACTGCCATATAGCCCTTCAGAGCACTGCCTGTCTGTGGCGCACAAAGAAATGGTGTAAGAAAAGAAAAGAAAAGAAATAGACCCCTACACTGCTGCAGTGGACAGCACCACCATTCCCAGGTCAAAGGACCGTTGTGTGCTGCTTTTTCTTCACTTGTTCTTTCAAACGATCACAGCACAGCCTGCAGAATCGCTCCACCGTGAGGGCCGTGCTGCAGTTTCTATCAGAGGCTGATCAATAACTGTTAATGACGGCGTACCGTAGCTCATTCAAGATGCGGCTCGCGCGCTGCCGTTGCCATGGAAACCATAGCTGCAGTGCTGCAGGCTGAAATTGGGAGTTGGAGAGGAAAAAAATGGGGAGGAAGGCGGGGGGCAAGCGATTCAGGTGGGATGGGTAAATGAGAGAAAAAAGAGCAGAAGACACTGTGGGCTGCACTCGTCTCCAAATGTATTGGCTTTATTTTAGCACATTTTCTTTATAGTCTAAGTCTTCTGACAGGCAATAATGTTAGCAGCCGAGAAGTAACAGTTTGGGGTGTGATAAATGCATTTAAAGGTGATGTAATATTGTCTAAATTGGCAAAATTCTTGTAATATTATAGTAATATTGGCAGCATTCTTGTAATAATATTGCAATATTCTGTAGTGCATTATATCCGTCAATTTGTCAGAATTCATTTTATATCCTTTTTGTCAGTGGAGAACCCTCAGGGCACCTTAGGGCCCAATCCCATTTCTTATTTTTACTCCTACCCCTTGTTTTCGAGTGTCACCTACAAAATGGGACAAACCTCAAATAAAGAGAACATCACTTCATTAACAGCAACGACACTAAACTAAGATAATACGATGATTATTGTAATTTTTAACAGAGAAAATACTCACATTCTGGGTTTCTTTGGTCGCTTGTGCAGCCATCTTTTCTTCTCATAACACTGTATTTGGAGTGTGCCTCTGAAAAACCTCCTTTCACCCTGTTCTTCAGTGGTCAGGACCCCCACAGGACCACCACAGAGCAGGTATTATTTGGGTGGTGGGTCATTCTCAGCACTGCAGTGACACTGACGTGGTGGTGGTGTGTTAGTGTGTGCTGCGCTGGTACGAGTGGATCAGACACAGCGGTGCTGCTGGAGCTTATAATTATAATACCTGCTCTGTGGTGGTCCTGGGGGGTCCTGTCCATTAAAGAACAGGGTAACAAAGTATGCAGAGAAACAGATGGACTACAGTCTGTTATTGTAGAACTACAAAGTGCACCTATATAGTAAGCTGAGCTGATAAAATGGACAGTGAGTGCAGAATGTGTACTTCATGAAGTGTATAGAGGTTAAATAGCAACTAGCGCCTTGTCTATAGAGTAGAGGTCAGTTCCGCTCCAATCCTGTAGGTGGCAGTGTGGAAGCTTTACGGCTCAAACAGTGCGCCCACAAACACAGACGAACTAAAACTACTGTAGTTTGTGTTCGTGTTTTGATTAAATAAAACGTCATAAAATACACTTTAGTCAATAAGCCACATACGAAACTAAATATAAAACATATAGTGTAGTTATATATGGTCTAGTTTACGCCTGTTAGGCATTTGTTTACGAGGAAAGCGTAGGTTACGCAGAGGCGCTAGGACACTGGTTGTGTCTCAAATCGACCCCAAGTCCCCTAAATAGTGGACTACTACCTAGTGCCCTAGGATCGTTTCAGCGTTGAGGAGCCATAGAAATCGGCCGGGGTTCCCGGTTAGTTTACTAGGGGTCGATTCGGGACAGAGCCCGTGTTAGTTTCGGTTAGCTAACGCGAGCTAACGTGAAATTCAGATGTTGTAGCGTTTACAGCGCTTTGCTAACAGGATGGCTAAGCCGTGTGAGGTGTCTGAAGACTTGGATGAATACGCTGTGAAGGACGTAAGTGACTTTTCAGTAGCTGAGATGTTTAAATGAAATAAAATGTCCTGTCTTGGCGAATCAGAGTCTACAGAGCTGCAGCAGTAACTGTTTTTTTTGTGAACACAGGCGCCTCCAACTGTTTACTACGTTCCTGATTTCATAACAGAGGCAGAGGAGGAGTATCTTCTACAGCAGGTAGCGCTTAGAACCACGTTTATCAAACCCTGTATGTCCAAAAGTCCAGAAGTGTCCAGACACGCTGCTAATTACTGAATTCAGCTCCATATCTCCATAGAATCTCCATAGAAAAGCACTGACCAGTAGACTGGAGCTCTGGAGCAGCTGCACTTCAGCCTAAGGTCTCCATGCGCAGTGCCAAGCGTCGGCTGTCACGGTCATGAATTCTTAGCGGAATTTGTGGCGTAAATAATTGCGATTAACAGTTTAGTTATCTTGTACAAGCCTTACGTGGCTTCCTAGCAGTGTCTACTAAGTAGCTAATACGGTTATCATTGTCTAAATCAGGCCTGTCAAACTGGGGGCCCAGGGTCTTTTTAATTAGCTGATGAGCTGAATCAGGTGAGTTTAATGAGTCAGCGTGCTGAAGTCTGCATTGTTTTGGCCCGCGAGGACTGGAGCCTGACACATGTGGTCTAAATAATACGTAACATTGTTGTCCAGGGGTGGCACGGTGGCGCAGTGGGTAGCGCTGTCGCCTCACAGCAAGAATGGCCTGGGTTCGATTCCCGGCTGGGCGACTAGGGTCATTTCTGTGTGGAGTTTGCATGTTCTCCCCGTGTCTGCGTGGGTTTCCTCCGGGTACTCCGGTTTCCTCCTACAGTCCAAAAACATGCAGTCAGGCTGATTGGACACGTTAAATTGTGCCCCTAGGTGTGTGTGTGACTGTGTATGTCTGTCTGTCTGTCTGCCCTGCGATGGACTGGCGACCTGTCCAGGGTGTATCCTGCCTTCCGCCCAATGACAGCTGGGATAGGCTCCAGCACCCCACCGCGACCCAGAAGGATAAGCGGTTTAGATGATGTATGTATGTATTGTTGTCCAGACGCATAGCCCAGGGGTGGCCAGAGCCACTCTAGCACAAAGCATGACCATGACCAATGTTCTGGCCCAGTTAGGCTGAGGAAAGTGAGACAGTCAGCCATCATCAATAAAGCATCAGTTATGCTTTATGGTGAAAATCTGTCCTCGGGGTAGTTACCAATCGGTTATGAGAGTCTGATGACGCTGCATTTAATAATGTGACAGGTTAATTAATGAGGAATCACTAATTAGTCAGCTATAATCGTTTATCATGCTAATTGATTTTGTTTTTTCAGCTGTGTATGTGGATGTGTTCTAGGCTATATAATACAGTTCTGTCTGGCTAGTTTTCTAATCATTACAGTCTAAATGAATAACTGTGGTCTGTCTATATGAAGTGGTCTTAAAGTCAAAAAAGTTTTTAAAAATTATTAAAATTTTTCTTTTCTTAGCAGCGTGCCACTCCAATAAAATCTCTGGCCACCCCATTCTGAAAGTTCTAGATACACCCCACTGTTGTCTACACACTTAAAAAAGACGGTTCTTCAGACTGATGGAGAATATGTTGTATATGGTGCTTTATAGAACCTTTCTGAAAATGGTTCTGGTGTTGTTAGGATGTCAAGCTTGTAACAATAAAAGAACCCTTCTTGGTGATATTTTCAAAAAGGTCCTGTATAGAACCGTATACAACACATACTAGCAATCTGAAGAACGATTTCACCATGCAAAGAACCATTTAACCCCTGAACAAGCAAGTTTTATTACACATTTCTGTAACATAAGAATAGCTCCATTAGTTTGCATTGAAGTCCCTGTAGTTAATGAATTATAAGGCTTTGTATGAAATAAACCTGGAATGTCAAGGGGTTAAGCACGCAAATGGTTCTATATAGACCTCATGGTTCTAAACAGAACCATTGCCTTTACTAAAGAACCCCTGGAGAACCATCCTTTTTATATAAAATTGTGTGTAGAGTCGAGCAAAGCTAGTGAAACTATATGCAAACAAGGTCTCATTCTCTCATATATGCTAAGATTGTTAATCTTAGCTACATAGACAAAATATTAAATATATTATTTGTGCTGCTCTCTTAACATTTTAGAGCACCAACCTTTTATTTGCATTTATTTGCCCAACGACTTTTATTGCAGTCAACTTAAATAATTGCAACCATTTAAAATAATTGGGCCTACGGCAATTGTAGGCTAGAGGGGTCTAAAGCCCCCCAGCATTGGGCTGTCCAATACCTTTGGGATGAGTTGGAGATCCAAAGCTGATCATCCAGCGTCAGTAGCTGACCTAATGCTCTTGTGGCTGCCATCAAATCCTCACAGCAATATTCCAACATCTAGTGTAAAGCCTTCCCTGAAGAGAAGAGGCTGTTAGAACAAACTTCCCAAATTCCACTCAGAATAATTGAGTGTTGGAGATGTAAACAGAGTCATTCAGAGTGGTTTGGTGTGAAATGGTTCAGAGTAGAGACTCATTTCTTTACAGTGATAGAAACACAAATATAACCACTTTATTACTGTCCAGAACCACCAGGAAACCTGGTAAAAAAGTAAATCTGAAAAATCTGTTTTCTTTGGGTTGTATTTTGCCTTACAGTGTCGTGCCTGTACCTCTCCGCCAGGATTTCACACCTTACCACTCTGTATGACTTTCTTTTCATCTAAAAGATGAATTAATTCCTCATTTACTCTGATTTCAGAACAAACAGCGGAAGAGCAGGTGTCACGTACTGTAGCATGGAGGGTCCACAGACGAAGCGTAGACAGCTCTGAGTTTGTGCCTCTGAGCATTATTTCAAACTGACTCTGCAGGCAGAGCACAAGAGAGGAAAATTGCTCTTATTTATGGAGAGAGGAAATAGGCTCTTTAAACCGCCGGCACAGCCACGGACGGGCTGCTACTGAATCTCGCCGGGGTTATGAATCATGACCCAAACCTGGGTGGCGGTAACTCAAACCCCCAAACAGTAAATACCCGAGCTGCTCCATAACCTGTAAAAATTAACATCACGTACTTGAAAATGCAACCAAGCCGAGCATGAGCAAGGCATCATGGGAACCAGAGCGTGCTCTGACGCCACAGTTCGTTTGTGTTTTGCCCCTAGTGAGCAGCAGACGTGCACATCCTGACCTGTGTGTGGCTTTCAGGTTTACAGAGCCCCGAAGCCCAAATGGACGCAGCTGTCTGGAAGGAGGCTGCAGAACTGGGGTGTGTTTCTCTAATGCATTCGTATGTTTATCTTGTCTCATACTGTAATTTACCTGAATATTTACTAGAAGAAATAGAAATTTTCCACTACAGCAAAAGTTATTAGTCAAGTCATGTTTGGTGTCTGAAGTTTTGCTGCACTGGCGCTTGTCCAGTGTGGCCGGCTAACAAGCTAAGAAGTCTAGTGTGTTGTTACACAACCTGCACATCAATGCTGTCCTTAAAAAACAGCCTCCATTTTTTTGTGATATTTAGTTTTCTTTTACATCAGTCATGTCAAACTGGGGACCTTCCGGGCGCACCAGGTCGTCATTGTCCGTAACGCCACTGTAGACGTTTTACACAAACACCGTATGAACATCTGCTCCCCGCTGAGCACTCGTTCTCTCAGATGCCGACAGTTTTTGAGGGAGGAAATGAAAACTGTTCCTCTGAAAGCGGCTGTAGCAGCAACTTTAAAGCATGAACTGCACATTAACTCTCCTCAGCAGCGCTGAAATGCTGACACAGAGGTTCTTTTCCTCTATATGACAAAGTTTATTCCTTTGCTAACTACACAAACTCTGCTCATCATCAACTGACAAATCACTGAAACTGAGAAGTTTGTTTTTGCTTTAAACTCGAACACTTCAGTGAGCTGTAAACGCCCTACTCATCATCGTTGTTATTGTCGTTGCTTTAGCGGAAGCGGCAATACCGTGCAATGACTACTTCCAGCAGAAAACATGCGGAAATGTGAAAAGGGCCTATAGCTGTGCTCCAAAATTGCTTGGAATAAAACCTCTTTAAATCAACTTACACTGAAAGTAAAGAACATTTTCGGCTGAAGAGCTACTGTTCTGTAGATACTCACTTTTCTTTGAGCAGCAACGATGTGCCTCCTCACATTTCTTAGCAGAAAATTAGCAAAATGACTTTACTGTGGTAGATAAAAACCAGCGAGGAGCAGACAGTGAAGTGATGGTTTAGCCAAAAATGGAATCTGCAGTTTCCACGTTACACTAAACATAAACGTATTAAACATAGTCGATCAGTCGAGACATTTTTGGCGTCTGCTGCTTCTTTAGTTTTGCACTGATGCTATGAGGCTAATGTGGCTAACAAGCAGTGGAAGTCTACAGCATGGACCACGCTTAGCGTCATGCTAACTGCATGTGTAGATCATCTCACAGTAAAGTTGCATAGATAAAAGCCACAGCGGCTAAATTGAAGCTTGAATTTTGTCTGTACGTTTTTATAGCTATCAGTAAATCACACAGTGTTAGAAACCAAGTCTACCACATAGCTACGTTAGCCTCGTAGCTCCAGTGCAAAGCTAAAAGGAAACATCAGACACCAAACTTGACTAATCAGCTACGTTTGGAGTGAGTGAAGGATTTGTAAATTTGATCTTTATTTAAACTTTTCCTTTAGACACATATTGACATGTGTGATTAGAAGCTCTAGAAGCTTCCAGATCCTGTCCTGGCAAGTCAGACTGTGACACAGTTCAGTTTCTCTGCTCTGACACACCTGATTCTAGTCATCAGATAATTGTTAAATGTTTCACGAGTTGAAAAAGGTGTGGTTGAGCAGGAAAACACTCAGCTGGAGTGGTTTGGCCTTCAGGGACTGGTTTTACAGTGTATTGGCGTTGTGTAAATATTGGAGGTACTGGTAATAAGAGCACAGCTTTTTCCTTCTTCCGCCAGGTGGGCTGCCACATCCGAAAGGAATGCTGGCAGAGAAACTCCCTGATTGGCTGCTCAAGTACACAGAGAAAATATCTGCACTTGGTGCATTTGCTGGAAAAACCGCCAATCATGTGCTGGTGAACGAATACAAGCCGGAGGAGGGCATTATGGTATAGTATATAAATATATACATACATCATCACTGTCTGAACAAAACCATGCATCTTAATTTTGCTTTATCTATTTATTTATTTATTTTTACGGCGTTTGAAAACACCAGCTGTCTTTTACATTGTATTAAAATTTCATCATGAATGGGAAAAAATAATTGATCCAAAATTATTCTGAAAAATCCTGTTCCATTAACTTCCATTCAAAGTTTTTTTTCCTTCTCCTGTAAAGTCACTGTTTTGGAGATACGAGGTTTTGTTATATGTTATTAATATTGTCGTGCTGGTCTGAGTGTGTCAGACACAGTGGTGTCGCTGGGGTTTTTACACACATCAGTGTCCCTGCTTAGTTAAGAGTGAGCTTCCCACCCAAAAATATCCAGCCAAGAGTGACTCTGCGGTCAGAAACCAACCAGTGATGAAGCTGGAGGATAAATAACAAACTGTGCATCAACAGATGAACTACAGTGTCTAACACTACACCAGCAGGGAGGAGCTACAAGACAGGGTTTCTGATAAAGTGGCCAGTAAGTGTACACAGGGTTTAAAAACTCCAGCAGCGCCGCTGTGACTGATACACTGCTGTGCTGATAATGATATCCGGTCAGTGTTGGACCCCTTTCATTAACAGACAGCAGAGAGGCTGATGAGCTGTGCAGCAGCAGTTGAGCTACAGTCTGTAACTGTACACCTACAATGTGCACACGTGGATAAAGTGAACTGTCTCTCTCTCAGCCTCATGAGGACGGCCCACTTTACCACCCCACAGTGACCACCATCAGCCTGGGGTCCCACACTCTGCTGGACTTCTACGCACCTGTCGATCAGACTCAGGTACCAACCCAGCCTAAACAGACTGACTGTCATTTCAGCTAGAAGTTTAAAACGTGACTATAATCCTTTATTATTCAAAGGTAACTTTAGCATAACTCTGTACTTCTGTAAATACAGTGAAACAGTACGTTTCCTATGTTTTCTGTGTTTTATAGTTGAACCTCTTCGACCCTGAGAGCCGACATTTCACTTCCTCACTCTCATAACAACATATCTGTTTCACTGTAGATATTAATTTATTTATAGTAGTTACTTTTTGATTCATAGTAGTTACTGAGTATTTTATGGTATTTATTAAATAACTCCAAGCATTTATTGAATAATTCACAGTAGCTATGAAAGATTATTTACTGAATAAGTCATAGTAGTTATTGAATAATTTTCAGTATTTATTGAATAACTCAAAAAAGTTACTAAATAATACATAGTATTTACTGAATAATTCACAGAATAAATATTAGTTACTGAATAATTCATAGCAGTTATTCAGTAACTAATATTTATTCTGTGAATTATTCAGTAAATACTGTGTATTATTTAGTAACTTTTTTGAGTTACTGAATAATAAACAGTAATTACTACGTAATGTGTAGACATTACTAAATAATTTTTACTAATTACTTAGTAATTCACAGAAGTTACTAAATTGTTGTTATTAAATGATTGCTAGAAATTACTGAATTATAAACAGAAGTTATTGTGTTGTAAAATAATTTATTGTAGTTACTCAGTAATTCACAGTGGTTGGTGAATAATTCATTTGTGGTTACCAAATGATTCAAGATAGTCACTGAATAATTCATAGTAGTTACTGAATGAGTTCATAGTAGGTGTTGAATTACTGGTAGTAGTTACTAAATAATTAATAGTGGTTACAAAATGATTCATGATAGTTAATGAATAAATCACAGTAATTACTGAATCAATTATAGTAGTTAATTAGTAATTTAGAGTAGATAATGAATTATTAATAGTAGTTAATGAATAATACGACAGTTTAATCATCCAAGTACAGAAACTGCAAGCATTCATTTATCTCTCTCTGTCTCTCTCTCTTTCTCTCTCTCTCTCTCTCTCTCTCTCTCACTCTGTCTCTATCTACCTATCTCTCTCTCTCACTCTGTCTCTCTCTCTTTCTCTGTCTCTATCTACCTCTCTCTCTCTCGCTCTCTCTCTGTCTCTCTCTCTCTCTCTCACTCTGTCTCTATCTACCTATCTCTCTCTCTCACTCTGTCTCTCTCTCTTTCTCTGTCTCTATCTACCTATCTCTCTCTCTCCTCTCTCTCTCTCTCTCTCTCTCTCAGACTGGAGTTCCTCAGACCGAAGAGAGCCGTTACGTGTTGTCACTGTTGCTACGGCGACGCAGTCTGCTGATTCTGCAGGGTGAGATGTACGAGCGCTACCTGCATGGGATCCGCGGGGTTGCCGTGGATACGCTGACGGAGCGGGTGGCGAACCTGTCTGCGGCGGGCGGGCAGGTGGGCGAGACGCTGACTCGCGGCACCCGAGTTTCCCTCACCATCCGCCACGTGCCCAAAGTCTGCCGCGCCAACCTGCTGCTCGGCAGGAAGTGACTGCGCTCAGAGACCCCCTGAGTAGACTGTTCGGGGACTGAGAGCCTAAAGACACGATGACCGTTTGAGGAGCGGAGGACAGTTCAGACGTCCATCTTAAAGGAAACTCCAGTGTTTCTCAGCCTCATCTTGATCTGCTTCATCAGTTAAAACAGCAGATCCAGTTAGTTCTGCAGTTGATCAGGTGGAGCTTCTGAACACTCAGCCTTCTTCACTACACTGATAAAGAATCACCACGACTTCTTCCCTCTGAAAAACTGGTCCCATTGGTCCCATTTCCAAAGGAAGGAATAATACAGGTTTACAGCTTTAGTTTATAGATACTTGGACTGAGCAATTCCTGAAAAATACAGTTGCATGCAAATGTTTGTGCACCCTAGTCAAGTGACTTGTTTTGTTGATTTTCTAAGTGAAAATGAGGCTTCGTTCACACAGCAGGTAAAAGTGGCCCAAATCTGATTTTCTCACCAAATCTGATTTTTTTGTTTGGCTGTTCACATTATCTTTTAAATGTGACCTGTGTGGGACATCAGTCTGAACAGATCAGCTTCCAAACCGACCCACATATGCAAAAGAACAATGCCTTACGTGGCTCATCCAGACGTAAACAATCATGACTATAAACGCCAGTCACTCCCGGAGGATCAGCTTCATCTTCGCCAGCATCACAGGAGCCATCATGAAGCTTCACTGACCAAGCTGGGCTCATCACCCAGAATGTGTTCGAGTTCGCGGTAAAAAGGTCATGGTCACTTCTTTGGTTCGCATCCTTGGATTCTTTAAACTTTGCTTTCAGGCTCTTAACTGTTCTTTGATGCTGCAGCCTCGTTCTCCTACAGTTTCTTTCTAAATCTCTTCAAACGTGGAGGGTTTTGGATGAGTCTCGAATGTCGAGTTGGATTGACGTAAAAGCCACATGAATTCTGATCTGGCTGTTCAGACGGAGTCGTATTGCCCCAGATCAGATACAGATCGGATTTCAGTACCACATATGAAAGCGTCTTAAATCGGAATTGAAAATGTCAGATTCGGTGTGTTTTTTGCTGTCACACTGCCACACAGACACACATCTGTGTCACATATGAGGAAAAAGATTGGATTTGGGCCACTTTTACCTGCTGTGTGAACGTAGCCTAAGTTATACATCCTACAGAAAACACACTTCTGCACATTTTAATGTGCACTTAGTTTATTTGCTGAATGTAACATATTGGGGAGAAAATAAAACAAAATGTGGCCTGTGCAAAATTTATGGCACATTTTATATGTTTTATTATTTTTTTTTACAATATTAAACTCAGCAAATCCATGAAAATCAACAAAAACTCATTTGAACAGGGGTGCACAAACTTTTTCACAAAACTGTATGCAGTGTAGGAACATCTCCATGATGGAGGATCCCTCCAGTGTTGATGCCTGTTGTATTAATTAAACACCGTCACAGTGAGGTAGAGCTGTGGTTTCCTTTACAGGAAGCTTAGTGGCCTTTGAAGAAAACAGCTCATTCAGAAATGCTAATGTTTCTAACAGTGAATGACCTCAAAACATCTTAATATCACCATCAGTGCTTACAGGAGTAGTTACTGAAATATCTAATTTGCACAATTTTCCTCTGACCCCAAATGTTTGGCCATGTTTGATGACCGAAACGTCTTCATTTCTGCAGTGGAACTTTAGGGCTAATATAATAGAAGCCATTGGTTTCCATCACTTATTGTTAGATGAGCCTCGTCGCTTCAGTGCAGAACTGAAGTAGCAAACATGTCTTGGCCAAGCTGACCACATTCGGGGATAGAGGGAATCTGTGTGAATGAGATTTTTGGTCTTTTAACAGCTTGAATTGCTAACGTACTTCACTTTCTCTGATTATGAACAGAAATCTGAGACTGCAGGTGCCACATGCTGACTACGACCAAATTCAAGCGCACTTCTGAATTGTGTTCTGTCAGCAGCTCATGTGTCTCACCGGTTTGAATATCTGCTTTATGCAAAGCGTTCAGATGGCCTTTCTCTGAAGTGATGAAGATCAGTGGCATTGCTGTGCAATACGGACTGACAAATAAACATCCCAACAGTCTGATAACGTCTGACAAAGACTCTAGATTTTGTAACAGCTTTCATTTCTTTAAGGTTTGTAAGTCTCTGAAACTCCTTGAACAGTAATGATGGAAAAGGCAAAATTCCTGTAATACAGTGATTCCCAAAGTGAAAAATTGTGTTGTTGTTTTAATATAATAATGTATAAACCTGAACTTAGTGCGGAGTTGAAAATAAAGCACTTAAAATGTGCTTTCTTTTTTAACACTGAGCGCGTTTACATGCACTTAATAATCCGATAACTGCAGAAAATCAGATTTGGTCAATAATCCGATCAACGCTTTTACATGCACTTGAGTAATCAGACAATGGGAAACCCCGGGTCTATATGAGTCAGACAGTAATCGGATTTCTGCTTTGCAACCAGCCAATACACTTACAGAAGAAGACGTGACGTAAACAAGACGTAAAGCTCAAACTTCATATTGCGGCTAATTTTTAAACATTGCATCACTTTACCTGAAAATATGAACAAACATCATCTAGAAGATGAAGAATATTTAAATCCTAAATTTGGTGTTTGGTTTCAGCGTCGCTCCAAAAGTGCTTTGCTGCGTCTCACGGCGACGCTGCTTGCTTATTTCCGGTACCGCTGTCTGATCTCACTCATGCTCAGACTGAGAAATCTGAAAGAAATCAGAGTAAGAGTTTACATGCACTGAGATATCTGATCACTGAGTTGAAATCCAGCTCTCTTTATCAGATTTTTAGATTGGACTATGATGTTTACATGACTATTTAAATAATTGGATAACTGCAGAAATCTGAGTATGATCGGATTATTGAGTGCATGTAAACACACTCACTGTTAAAATTTCAAAAATGCACCATTCACTCCCATCTATACAGTCCGTATACGGAAGCTAAGCTGAAAAAACCGCCTGTTTTCAACTCAATGTTTTTGCAATGTCACTAAAAGCAATGCGTTCACATACAGTCTCATGCGAAGGTTTATGCGCCCGTGTTCGAATTCCATATTTTGTTGACTTTCTAAAAGAAAATATGCGAACACATCCTCTATTTAGACACACTTCTGCACACTTTAATGCACAATTACTGTTTATTTACTGAATTTAACATATTTGTGAAAAAAAAAGAAAACATGAAATGTCGGCAGTGAAAAAGTTAATTCACATTTTATATTTTCTAATATGTTGGAAATTCTGGGCTAACATTTGCAGGAAGATACCATATTTAAATGTGTCCCCTGTAGAAGACATATAGGTACTTCAGTTGATTTTTCCCTTAGATAATCATTGAAACACGTCTTTTGACCGGGGCTGTTTAAGCTTGTGCGTACTTGTGCATGCTGTTATTCACTATTTATTTAATGAATTTATTCATTATTTATTAATATTATTTAAGTTAGACACCAGGTGGTTTTTAAAAGATGTTTTATTATCTGGGAACACCAAAAAGAAAAATAATATACAGTGATCATTTATTGTCATTTCTTGGTAAGTTATCTGCCTGAGAGTTTATCAGCATGTTTCGAATACGAGACACTCTGGATGTTAATTTTAGAGCTTCATTCTCGATGTTGTAGTGATTTACAGTGACGTTCTCAGTCGCTATGGAATCGTCTACAGTTGATAATTCTGGACAGATCAAGCGTTTCTTTCCCACTGATTATTTGATATCTGTAAAGTTGTATATGTACCTGCAACAAAATTGCCTTTTTTAAATTATTAAAATCAGTGATTCCAAACTTTTTAATGATAGTGTGGATTAGTTATAATTGATTTGTACTACTTTTTACTTTATTGAATTAGTGAGCTAAATTTTAAATGAAGTAATTAATTTATAAATAAAATAAATAACTTATTTTTTGTAGTTGACTCTGAGCTCAGTAGCTATGAAACATTTATACCTACTCTTAACCCATTCATGTCCAACAACTGAATTTAGTATAATAAGAAAAAAAGCCTCAGATGTTCTGAAGTGATGAAATTTTTTATAGTTATACACAATTATATAACATCTAACAGCAGTCAATTGAATGCTTGATTAAATGTAATTTTCATACTTACAATAACAATCAAGTCTGTAGTTTTACTGTTTTATTAAAAATCAGTAGTCCCGTTTACCCGAAAGTCTGAATTTTAGGCTAATTTAAGTGATTAAAACTCACTTTTTTGTTCTTATCTTTTCATGAATTTGAAATGTTTCTTCAGATTTGTGCTCAGAGCTCAGAGAACATGTGGACCAAATGAAATGTAAGATTTCAGATCTGGACATTAACAGGTTGAGCAGGTGGACATTGTGGAAAAACCAGCAGCAGTGAAACAGATACGACACAAGCAGCGCAAACAATACCCAGCTAATGTTACGTTCTCACCCTACTGGATTAACTCAGGTATTGTGTGAGTTTATAGATTCACCAAAGGCTTAAAACAGAAGCATAAATCATTTAACTATTAGCCTAATATCTAATACTTCATCAGCAGCATATTAAAGTTTCTAAAAGCAGTTTTGCAGCATAATTTGTGAGCCAATGAGATGTCAGTTCTGTGCTGTATTTTACATTAGAAGCAAAAAACCCAAACATAACAATATTTACAAGCTTTTTATATTTTTTCCATTAGATTTTCTTTCAGCTTTCAGTCTTCATGATTCTTATAATGAAGCTGCTCTATAGTTGTGAAATATACACTATACAAATCGCCACTGTTGCACAAAAACATTGTATCTATATTTCTATATAGAACCATTTTCAAAAAGGCTCTATAGAGAACCATTTACACCATTTTGAAGCACTATTTCATCATGCAAAGAACCATTTAAGCATGAAAATGGTTCTATGTAGAACTCATGGTTCTTAATTGACCCATTGCCTTTACTGAAGAACCCTCTACTGCACACATTATGAAAGCAATGAAAAAAATATCCAATTCACTTTTCTTGAATAAAATGATTCTTGATTATTTTTTTCGGACCTGATTATTAAATTCAAAAACATAAAAAAAATAAATAAATAAAAAAGATGTGTGCAGGGGTCCTTTCGGAGTATGTTGCCTGGAGGCAACATTGTGCGACAATAAGAAGAAATGATATAGAGCTGTGTTCCCTGAAGTGGTGAGATCTGGCTTGTGACTGGCTAAATCCATTCCACTGTTGCACAATGTTGCTTCTAGGCAACAAACATATTTCTGCAAATTCTCATAACAAAAAAATTGATACTGAATGTTAAAAAAGAGGTTTAAACGTGCCCACTAAGAGCTAGTATTACTAAGCACATGCTTTTTATTGACTCACTCAAGCTCTTTCCTTTATTGTTAACCCTTTGTCTTTAAATATGTATAAGGTTACTGTAAAATGAGGAAAATGAGTTTGTTGCCCTCAGGCAACATTGTGCAATAGACGGTTAAAGAACCATCTTTCTTAAGTCTGTAGTGCTCAAATTCCTTAGTAAAGACTAAATATGAAGGCATAGTTTGAACATTTAGATCTATGACTGAAATGTATCTAGAATCAGCACTACATTCATAACATAAGGAACAATGCTGTTCTTGGGGTTTTGTCATAAGAAAGGAACCCAAGCGCTACAGAAATGTAAAGAGAAAGTCGGTGCTGAGAAACTTCCTTCATTTTAACAAAACTCCAGGCCCACCAAGCCCTGTTTTCTGCCTTTAAAAGCCCTGATCGGGTCCACACCCCTGGGCGTCACTTCTTCTCTGTAGCTCCATAGCAAAACCACAGCTCCGCAGGCTGCTCTGCTCTACTCTGGTGAGTTTTGTATTATTTAGTCCAGCGATATTGAGATGAAACCCGAACTAGACGCCTGATCGTCTTTTTATGAGGATAAAGTCTCTGAAAAGGTCGCTGACGTCTTGTTTTTGTTTTACCACAGATGACAAGCGCCTTTGACAGGCTAGCTAGGCTAAGTTCATTAGCCGCGGAGTACCGTTAGACAGACAGGCTCGGTAGTTTTAAAGCTTTTCGATCTATTTTTGACGCTGAAAAACACTCAAAACATACGTTTCGACGTTCAGACTAGTTAGAAAAGACCGTAGTTCGAGCTGTTAGGCTCGGTAACGTTGGGCTAAAGTTGCTTCGCCGTTCCACCTTAAATGTGCAGCGGTTGCCGTCTGTCGCCGGAACGTGCGCATGTAGCTTCTGCAGCATTTAAGGTGGAACGGGGAATTCGGAGATGCTAACTCTGCTAGATCAGCGAATAGGACCAAAACAAGACTTCATAAGCTTTCAAGAGTGGCCAGTTTGATAAATGACCGCATATCTTAGCTGTATTGCCTGCTTATAAATGTTAATTGGATTTTTGAAGTTACTACCGTTTAGTTTTCTGGCTGCTTTGGACGGTTTGGGTTGTGTTAGCCACCTTGCTAAGCCAACATTAGGCTAAGTAGGTTAAGTTGTATTTTTCTTTTAATTTGGACACTTTACCAGTAAACAAAACCAGCAGCCGGGTAAACAGGTTAGGGTAAGCAGGGAGTGATGAAAAGGCTCTTATGAGGATGAATGTGAGGAAAGCTGCTTTATCTGAGCTGGAGAGTGTCAGTGTTGTAGGGTTGTGATTGTCTGGTGATCTACAGTGAGTTTTTCCATGCTGAGTGGAGGAATTCCGTGGGTGAGTGTAGTTGAGTGTAGTTGTGTGTAGTTAGGTGTGTCCTGTAAACCCATATCCAGGGCTGGGGCTGCAGACTGGGCGGACCTGAGCTGAGGAGGAAGAGCTGCTCTGAAAGAGATTTGATCCCTCAGGAGGTGATTCACTGTGGCAGTGATTCATCCCCAGCATAGCAACAATGAACGGTTAACCACGAAAACTGCCAGCAGGGAGTTTCTCACAAGTTTGGCTGGTTTAGTTACTCATTTGAATTGAATGCTTCTTGAGGCTCTGGGCAAGAAGATACACAAGATAAATAACGTGACTTTTTATTAAATGATCAAAGAAAAGAGGCCCAATTTACTCTGTGTAGTTAACATCCTTAAAGAACCTGTATAAAGATCTTATATAGAACCATGAACACTCGGAGAACCTTTTGCATGGTTAAACTGTTGTTTGCATCATGAAAGGCGAGGCAAGTTTATTTATGTAGCATCTTTCATACACAGCTGTCATTCGAAGTGCTTTAAAAATGAGAAAATACAGAGTCGGTTTAAAAAAGTAAGTTAAAAGAATAGAAAGTAAAAACATTAAAGCCTGATTGACGATACATTTGAAATAGAAAATCATTAAATTAAAAATCAAATCAGAAATTAAGTTATGATAATTAAAATGTAAAAATTAAATTAGGATAATAAAGTGCCGTTACAGAGGAGACTGGATTTAAGTGTCCAGCGGTCGGCGCTCTGCTAAAACTCTCTGTTAACTGGATCCATTTAAGAGCAGTATAGTAGCTGAACGCTGCTTCTCCATGTTTGGTCTTTACCTTCGGCGTGAAATGGTTCTTCAGATTGATGGAAAGCGTGCATGAATGTGCTACAGATGATCCTATATGAAACATTTTTGAAAAAAGGTTCTCAATAGAACCCAGAATGGGCTTTTGTTCAGTTTTGCTGTTGTGGCACGTGTAGATGGGTTGTTAGTCTTTATGGACTGATTTGTAGAGGTGCTAGGAAATAAACAACAACAATAATAATAATAATAATAATAATAATAATAATAATATTATCTCATTCAGTTATTGTAGTAAAACTGTTCTGGATGCACTAATATGGGAATTGTGTGCTGACGCCGATGTTTGGTATTTTTATCTTTTGGTGCAGATAAACAAGCATTAATAAAATGTAGACATTATCTAGAATAACATTACAGAGAAATGTAGCGTTTATTTGTGTTATAAATGCAGTAAAATGAATAAAATGCTGGTATTTTTGCACAGTAACTACCGTCATAATCAATTAACGTCATCGAATATTGATCTCAAATATCTGTCAGATTGAAACGTCTGTCCAGTGCAGATAACTTTCAAAGTAATAATCTGCACCGATATGCATCCCTAATAACTGATAATGTTCTGTAACAGTACTAGACACAAGGTTCTGCTCAGTCAGCTCAAAAGCCGTCAGCCTCCTCAGCCCCCAGTTTGTCGACTGCTCTGGAATTTGTTTATGGATTTTTGTGGTACAAATTTACCAACCCGATCTGGGCTTTTTTTCCCCTCACAGACTGAACTGACTCATCGGTGCTGAAGATGTTTCTGGCTAAGAAGCTGATTGGAGGAATTATCGATGTTGTCAGGTAAGTGTGCGTAACGCAGGGGTGTCAGACTCCACCACTAAAAGAGCCATTTTGCCACGAACCCAACTGGACATTGTTTGTTTAAAATATGCCAAAACTACAACGGCAAAAAATAGGCACTGAATACTTAAACGATTCAAAAATAAGTTTGGAAAAAAAACAAATTGTTTGAAATAATAGACAACATTACCTGCAGATCACTGTTAAACCTCTTTAAATGTCCCCAGTGGACAGTAGGTTTTTTGAAACTGCCCATTCACTTGAATTAGACACCATCTTTGTTTTTGTGGTGCATGGATCAGTGTTGGGCGTTACAATGCATGCTGGACCTGTAGTGCAGTTAATGGTGAAATGGGCTTATATTATAGAAAATTATAATAATTTTGCGGGCCCAGTGGGATTGTGCCACGGGCCTGACTCGGCCTGTGTTTGACACATGGGGCGGAATTTGCGCTTGTTGCTCGAATGTGTTCTTGAAATGGGTTTGACATTCACTGTGTTACGCAATAGTTTGTACATACCAAGACCCAAACTCTGTGTAACCCTCTGCGAAATGCTCTGCAAGCTTGCTTCAGTCTGTTTGAATGAGATTGAGGCCCCTCGCTGCCAGAAACAGGTTCTTCCAGTTTCAGACACCGCATTTTTTGTCATAAAGGCGCGTTTGTGCTTGAGGTCGTGAGAAAGCAAAAATTCGTGCCAGATTAGTTGTTCAGCTAACATTTTATGATGTAATTCAGTCAAAATGCATCTGATTTTAATATTAATCAGTTCCTTTCTGATCCTAAAATTGTCAATTTGTCTTGTTTTCACAGCAACATCGACCCTGGCCAGTTTGTCCCCTCAGACCCAGTAAGTGAGATCTCTGTTTGTTTATATCACAAACCAGTCCAGCATATTCTAATTCTTTGAAATGTGTTTTTTCATGTGTAGTTCTAGAACCACAGCGATGGTGGTGTAATGTAATAGAGACCCATTTTCATGGCATTATTACATTTTTATTATTATTATTATTATTATTACATCGTAAATGGGACTGTGAGTTTTGAGACTTCATCATTGTTATAGTTTATAGTCTCAGACAGGCTGAAAAACATGGATTTAATTCCAAGTAACTAAAACTGACCAACTGAACACCTTTAGCATTTCTCTTGGTTAAAATGGGCAAAAACGAATGATGTTTTTTTTCTTTTAAAAAACGAGTACAAAGTCTTCAGAGAACACTGTTAAGTAACCTGAACCTACAGTAATCTAAGGCATCACCAGCATTCGCTGCGCTTTCATATCAAACACAGTGTTCCATGATCTGGGCAGGTTTAGCTGGAAGCGCATTCAAGGTGATTCTACGCCTCCAGCATGCCTGTTTACACACACACACACACACACACACACACACACACACACACACACACACACATTCTGTAGTGATTCACCCGAGGTCCTGCCCTTTGACCTTATCTACACATGATAACATTAACCCTTCTAACATTAGCATAGTGAGTAGTGATGCGTATTTGTGTGCAGGCACTACCTGAACTGTGTTATTAAAGTGGAACTCCACCGATTTTTCAAAAAAATTTGCATAATTCTGTCATTGCCACATAAACAGTGTCATTCAGAGTGGTTTGATGTGAAAATGGTTCATTGTAAAGAAACTTACAGACCCTGATCTCTTTACGGTGGTGGTGATAGGAACCAGGGGTCGTCATGACTACCACACAGATACAGCCATTTTATTTACTATGGAAAACCAGCAGTGAACCTACAGCCTACATACTGAGTTTTTATATGTAAAGTTTATGATGGTAAAATATGAGTTTTCTTTGGGGACTATTTTGCCTCACAAAGCTCTGCATGCAGCCCTCCGCCATGAAAGGTTTAAAATGAGTGGATTAACAAGATGTTTAGGCCAAAACTGTTGTAAAATTATGTATTAGACACCAGGCAGAATGGGGAAAACACCCCAGACCACAGTATGGAGTCACTTAGTTGGCCTGGAAAGAGTCTTTAGACGCAGGGAAGAGTCCTGGGATGCCTCGTAGCCTGTAAAAAAAAAACACAAGTCCTTAGCCATGGGAGATGGTCCCTCGCCGCCTGGGAGGCCTCGAAGCTGCGATGGTAGCATCACTCATTTGGCCGGCCTGAGACGCCTACGAGCCACGCAGGAAAACCACTCTACATGGTGGCAAACTACTACTTCCCTTATTTCTCTGGGAGCAAAATATCAGACATCAAGTTTGTATATGGACACATACTTTTACAGTGTGTGTTATTTTTGTGCTAGCAGCTCAGCTGTGTAGTATATTATTGTATGCTGACAGTAACAGTGTGTGTGATTTAATGGGGTATGTGTTTGTGTTGTAGCCTCCCCCTCGCAGGCCGTATGCGTACGCTGAGGCCAACGAGACTGACGAGGAGAGACAGTTCCGGAAAGTGTTCCAGCAGCTCGCCGGTGATGTGAGTGTTCCTCAAACACATGCACATTTCATATGTGTATATATACACCAATCAAGCATAACATTATGACCACCTCCTTGTTTCTACGCTCATTGTCCATTTTATCAGCTCCACTTACTATATAGGTGCACTTTGTAGTTCTACAGTTACAGACTGTAGTCCATCTGCTTCTCTGCATACTTCGTTAGCCCCCTTTTACCCTGTTCTTCAGTGGTCAGGACCCCCATTGTCTGATCCACTCGTACCAACACAACACACACTAACACACCACCACCGCGTCAGTGTTACTGCAGTGCTGAGAATGATCCACCACCCAAATAGTACCTGCTCTGTGAGGGTCCATGGGGGTCCTGACCACTGAAGAACAGGGTAAAAGGGGGCTAACAAAGTATGCAGAGAAACAGATGGACTACAGTCTGTAACTGTAGAAGTACAAAGTGCTCCTATATAGTAAGTGGAGCTGATAAAATGGACAATGACCGTAAAAACAAGGAGGTGGTCAGAATGTTATGCCTGATCTGTTTATATGTTTATATACACACACAAGTAAACACAAAAACACAACATACACATGTTTTGTTGTTGTAGGACATGGAAGTGAGTCCCAACGAGCTGATGAACATCCTGAATAAAATCATCTCTAAACGTAAGTGTTAGATTACCAGCACTGCAGTACACTTTGCAGTATATTAAAGGAAAATTCCACCACTTTTTCTGCCTTTTTTCATGTAATTTGCTTGCTGGTCTGTACACAAACTCATACTGAGTGGTTTGAAATGGTTTATTGTAGAGAAACTTCCTAACTTAGATTTCTTTACAGTGGTGGTGATGGGAACCAGGGGTCACAATGTCAACAACACAAATATAGCCTTTTTATTTACTATCCAACACCATCGGTGAACCTACACGTGTCCGAGTTTTTATATTTAATGCTGTAGATGGTGAAACAGTTCTAAATCTGAAAAAAACATTTTTTTTTACCTGCATTCAAAAACTTGCAAGTACCACTCTGCCATGATTGGATTTAAAAATATGCTTTAGGCCAATTCTGACTCGGTACGTTTCTCTAGAATGGACCATTTCACATCAAACCAGTCTGAATGACTTTATAAAGATGCTTGTGAACTGTGACGTGGTTGAGTGTTGGCCTGCATTATTTTCTTTCCAAAATAGTTCACTTTTGTTGGGTTATGTGAACATCTTGATTCATTAGCACTCAGAAACGCTCATCTGGAGCTGTGATGGGTCAGGATGCTCACAGTAAGCAACACTGTGGACTTTGCATATTGCTCTCTCTGCAGATGCTGACCTGAAGACAGATGGCTTCACTATTGAGTCCTGCAGGAGTATGGTGGCTGTTATGGATGTATCCTTCTCCAGCTTATCAGTACTTACAGCACCAGCGTTTTAAAGATACAGTCAGGGATTGCAGAATTTCTAAAACAGGCTCAAAAATGCCTCATTCAGAACTAGCGCTGGATGTGGTTTTTCAAACATATGGATACCTGAACTCCTCTAAGTATTTGTTCACATAGTTAAGTATATAAATAACATATGGGTACTTTGGATACATTGTTTTGTATTTTAAAAAAGGCTATTACTTATGTTTTTTTTATGCAGAACAGTATAGAATTTTAATTGGATTATTCAAATAGTAGTCGTTTTAAAAAAATGTTTTTTCTATAAAGAACATTCATGCAACATTACATTAAAGTAGCTTTACAACTCCATAACTGTGGCTTTGAAATCAACCTGAAACCAGAATTAACCTTTTCTTACCCTATTAGTTCGTCTCTGCTCATATTAAGTGAGATTCATCATATTTAAAAAAAACAAAATTTTTGTTGTCTCGTGAACTCATTCAGCAAAATGTACTTTCATCCCACCTCCAAAACATTTTTTTAAATTTTTGATTATGTCACCGGGCACCGAAATAGGCAAAATAATATTAACCAATAATATAATGTTTCACCTTCCCCTCCCACCCCCAACTATCACTGAGAGAAACTGCTCAGAGACTCTCCCTGATACAGAGTTTCACTCAGAAATATATTACAGTACAGAAGGAGTTTCATTCTCCCACTTACACTGAATTTAAAACACGAGGATGACTTTGAAGATCCAATTAGGAAGTGCATGTTCTTGTTGATACTGATGTTTATGATTATCCTTAATGCTGTATGCAGAGTGACAGTACAGGTAAACTGGGCTTCCATGAGTTCAAACACCTGTGGAACAATATCAAGAAATGGCAGGTGAGTGTCATTATTCCACTGTCCTGTTTAAATACATGTGTGTGCATGTTTGACTGTGAGATCATATATTTAGGTCAGTGCCTGTGCCCGGTGATGGCTAACCAAGTTTAACAGCCCCCAGTGACAGTAAACCTTTACCGCAAGTGGTTCATTTATTGATTTTTTTTATGCAAACCACATCAAGACAGCAGTATTCCCACATATAAACAAAGCTGAACTTTTTAACATGCTAGTGATGTGATGTCCTACATAAGAACCACATTTATTTAACCTAACGTAGATCAGATTGTTCTAGAAACGCAGCTGTTGAGCTGAGCTGGTTGAATGTGCCTGGTGCTGCAGGCAGATATCATGCCTGTACAAGAACCTGCCTCTCGGGTATGATGTACATTTACAACATCCTCATACCACAGCATCGTGGTTCACAGTAAAATCATGTCTCAGCTCTCGTTTATCAGGCGAAACTGGCAGTTTCAATCTGTCTTGTGAAATGGGTTCAGGGAATAAAGCATCAAGTTAAGCAGCGTTAAACTCAGTGAAGTTTGTTTGACGTTTGCATTTCTGTTATTTCTTATGAGAATAATTACAGTCTCAATTACCATATGAAAACCTTTGGCAACCTGGTTTAACCGTTTACTGTGGTTATTTTCCAATGGGTTCTCCAAATAAAAGAAATCTGTTACTGGCACAGGCTGCTGGTGGAAATGTCTGACTGCTGTTTGTTTGTTTATTGTATTACTGGCATGAGTTGTAGTATACATTGGTGGTTGTTAGTGTTGTATTTATTATGATTATTTTGCGATTGTGTGTTTTTGTGGATTTTTCTGAACTGGCTGCAGTGAATGAGACATGGTAACTCTGTGTTTGCCTTTACAGGCTGTCTACAAGGAGTTTGATGCAGATCGTTCTGGGGTGATTGGAGAAGACGAACTGCCGAATGCATTCAAAGCTGCAGGTAAAACACCACTCCAGTGACCACACCCTTGTCCACTGTTTTCTCAGACTGTTTGGGTTAAGCTCGCTCTATAAAGAGCTTTCACCCCAGGCAGGTAGGAAACCTGTACATGTTATGCAAACAATCATCCTTTTCATGTCCTAATGCAGTGTTTCTCAACCCTGGTCCTCGAGGCCCGCTGCCCTGCACTGCCTAGTGTTTTATCTGCTCCCAACAGACCTGATCCAACTAATCAGCTCAATAACAGCCCATTGTTAAGTTAAAGTGGGTGTGTTAAAGCAGGAAAAGCACTAAAATGTGCAGGGCAGTGGGCTTCCTGGACCAGGGTTGAGAAATGCTGTCCGAATGGACGGCTTTATATGAGCAGAGAAAGATTAGAACTTTTTCGCCTGCATTCATCATAAAACAAAATTCGGAGTGATATCGTTATTGTGATGAAGTTATGTGACTGTGCTTTTTTTTTTCTTGAGTGTAATAAAGGTATCATGAGATTTATGAGAGGCTGCCAAATGGTTTACCTAAAGCATTTCATCCTGTTGTCGAGAGACTGTGAGTTTGTCAGAATAGCGCAACCATCTAAGACGCTGCTCATTGGGTGATTGTGAGTTTCTTTGGCTGAGAATCCAAGGCCCAATCCCATGTCTTATTTTCACCCCTACCCCTTGTTTTCAATTCTCATCTTACCCCTTGGAACTGAGGTGCGAGGGGTAGTGGTTGAAATCTTCGCCTATGAAATGGGGCAACACTCAAATAAAGAAGAACATCACTTCACTAACAGGCTACTAGCGCTGCTCTGTAGGCGACCCAGCTCGCCTTCAGTGATAGCAGAGGAGGGTAAAGTTCAGCAACTTCGCTGCTGGGCTTTAGATACATTTACAGCATCATATGCCTTCAAATATTTATTTATTATCGCCCACCTCTTATTCTTCAGTGCTATGAAGCTGAAGTCGGATATTCACCAGCTTCTTGTTCGAAACTTAGTTATCTAACTACCGAGACATCAGAATACTACTAGCTACACTGAAAGGACACTAAACTAAGATAATACAGTGCTTATTGTCATTTTTAACAGAGAAAATACTCACATTTGTGGGTTTCTTTGGTCGCTTGCGCAGCCAGCCACTGCTTGCCGGTTGGAGTGTGCCTCTGAAACACCTTTGTTTGGAGGGCCATGCAGCCCTAACACTTCACCCTACCCCTCTATCTATGACCACACAAAACGGAGGGGTAAGGACTAAGTGGTAGGGGCGAGGGGCGAAATGCGATTGGGCCCAAGAAAGGGTAGTCAGTTAACGTCTGAATGTCATTACTGAAAAACAGGAAATAGACTAAAAAGAAGCTGCTGGTGTTCAGTGGCTTGACCACTCCAGAGTCCAGACCTCAACATCACTGAATGTGTTTGGGATTACTTGGATCGTGAGAAGCAGGACAGAAAATAGAAAAAGTAAAAAACTTGTAGGCCTGAACTGTGGAGGTGTGGGGAAAAATATCCCTGCTGAAAGTGAGTCTCCTGAAAAAAGCATGAAGCTGTAATGAAGGTAAAGAGCGACACAATAAATACTGAAACATATATGATGATATTTATTTGATAAGGTTTCTGTGCAATTTGGTGTTAGATGGATGTTTCCTCACTTCTTTCTTCCTGTTGCTGAAAAAGGAATAAATTGTTCTTAATGGTCAAATTGATGTGGGAATTAAAGGTGGTCTCTGATTTTGCACAATACTGAGTAAACATAGTTGTTCATATTGAGGTTGATTCATTTGAGACTCTCGACTCCAGGATGTGGTCATTGTTATCGTGTACATAAAAGAGAGAAGCTGCTTCTAAATCAGGGCCTCAGGCCTTCATGAGCTTATTTATTAGAGACATTAAGTGTGTGTGTGTGTGTGTGTGTGTGTGTGTGTGTGTGTGTGTGTAGGTTTCCCCCTGAAAGATCAGCTCTTCCAGCTGATCATCCGCAGATACAGCGATGAGAACAAAAACATGGACTTTGATAATTATATCGGCTGCCTGGTGCGCCTGGACGCCATGTGCCGTGAGTACAGCTTCTCCATTACGGTCACTGTTTTGCTGCTCACTGTGTCGTGTTGTGTTCGCTGGACGACAGTGAGGCTACGATGGGGCTATTTTTGTCCGCTACAGGCCAAAAGCATGAAAGCAAGCAATGATTTTCTAAAGTGTGTAAAGTGTTCAAGGACAAAGCTGAAGGGAAATGAGGGCTTTACTTTTATTTGCTGGTCGTGTCACTAAACTTTGGAAATATATATATATATATATATATATATATGAGCTCTATTAAAATAATAAAAGGCTAGAATGTTCTACAGGTATGGAAACCAGTCTGGTGTTTAGTCACTAGATCTCTTACCACTTGAGCTACTACTGGACTGAATGTGAGCCTTCAGTAAGCCCACCAGTCAAAAAACGACATCTAGAAAAACTTCTTTGAAAGAAAAAAAAGGCTTTGAATGAAAGAACAACTCTAATATGACAGGATGTCATTAAAGCTAAAGAAGGTCATTTTGAATGTAGAATTAAGCAAAAACAAATTAGGAATCAGTTTCACATTATTGTTCTGTGTTGAACTGTTGCTGTGTTTTCACTTGGAAAAAACACTGACGTTTATTTTAACAGAGCTTATGAATGTTTAGCCTGTGCTGCGTGTGCCGTCTGACCGATGGGTGCTGATTGTTAAACAGGCAAAATGGCCTCTGGTCTGTGCTATCGCTGCAGTTTCAGTGCTAGCATTTGATTGTGTTAGCTGACAGCTCCCCCTAGAGGTTTGGAGCCGCCTCAGCATGTGATGTTTATACCTGCTTGGACAGGGTATCAACAAAATCAATGACTCTAAGCCATAAACCAGAATAGTCCATAAGCAAACCACAAACTTGGAACTCCTACAGCCAAGTGCACAAACACTTTCCAGCTGTGCTAATATGGTTATATAAATGGTCCACGACCTATATCGAGCTGTCATCTCTAAAAATGTAGGTTAAATGCTATGATGATTTGTGATGCAGCTGTTTTACAGCTACGTATCTGTTTGAAAATGAGATGAAATCAACATTGGAAAGTAAATCATTCCAGTCAGAACAACTGCAAAGTATTAGTCTGAAAAAAGTTTACCAAAGCTGCAGAGCTCATCAAAATTAGATGTAATTAATAGGGTCAAGATTTATGTTGTGAAAAGTGTTGAAGTTAAAAATGACCTGATTCTACTGAGCACTAATTATGCACTGCACAGATTGGTTTGGCTCAGACCAATAGTTTTTCAATTAGATTTATATTTCCATACATTGTTTTGATATTTTTATTTTTTTTATTTTTATTTTTTTTTAACTGTATTAAAATTATTACACTCTGTTAGGAGGATTCGTATCATTGTGTCCACATCAGTATTATTATTCAGATAAACTTGTGATTTTAATAATTTTATTTGCTGGTCACATTATTTTCCTCTTTCATAAGACACTTCTAATAGTATTTTTTCTCTGTTGTCTCAGGTGCCTTTAAGACGCTGGACAGAGACAATAATGGCTCCATCAAAGTGAACATCCAGGAGGTGGGAAGACTAGAGTTACTTGTAGAATTACTGTGTAATGTTACTGGAAAATGAACAACTCTAAGCTAGAAACTCATTTTTTTATCTATGTTCTGCATAATTGAGTGGCTGAGATTTAAACAAAGTGAGTCAGATTGGTTTGGTGTGAAATGGTTCACTGTGGAGAAACGTACAGACTCTGATTTCTTTACAGTGGTGGTGATAGGAACCAGGGATCGCCATGACTAGAACACAAATATAGCCATTTTATTTACTATCCAAAATCACCAGTGAACCTACACGTCTTCTGAGTTTTATATGTATTGTTGATAAAATAATCTGAAAAAAGTGACTTTTTTTTGGGTATCTCTCTGTCATTAATGGCCTTTTTAACAATGCATTTTTAGCACAAAAGCTTATTGCAAAACTGTCATAAAACAGTGTCTCGGACATCAGGCAGCATATTTATGACCATTTTTATGTAATATCTTTCTGTGAGGGAGTTTTTAGAGGCATTAAACTCCTCAGACGTCTGGTTCCTATCACCACCACTGTGAATAATTCTGACTCTGTAAGGTTCTCTAGAACAGAGCATTTCATAATATATCTTGTATATAAGATGGGGCAAACCTGACTCAATGCTTTAATTTACGTTGTAAAAGAATATACAGTACCATTCAAAAGTTTGGAAACGTTTTTTTTTCAATAATATATAACAATTTCTTTGCAGATACATTGTATTATTATTATTATTATTATTATTATTTGAAATGAATATAACATCTAAAAGTACTTTTTGTGTCTTATTTACAATATTTCAGTCTACATTGTTCAAGTTGCTAGTGAATACAATAATAAAAAACCCAAAAATCTGAATAGTAGTCTATGTAATATGTACTCTTAGTAGTTTATGTAATGGTGTTCTCTCTTTATCTGTGTCCATCCACAGTGGCTGCAGCTGACCATGTACTCCTGAGCATCTGGCTGTGCCTGGAACTGACATCAACTTCACCAAACTGACCCGTGTCCACCCCGATAGCCTTTTAACTCCACTCAGCACATTCACTCTCTCACAACACCCACAACCTAGCGCAAACCCCAACACGACTCCAACGCTCCAGCGCTTGTTTTCATTTTTTTAGTTACTCTTATTACATTACTGATGTCCTATATTAGCTAGTGTCATTTATATGGAGAATAGGGGCCAGGAGACCTTTTAGTCCTTATTAATTAAGTCCTCAGTTAATCATTATGGCTGGAGATGGGGTTTATATATTATATATGTGTACAGCATGAACGTGTATAAGACACAGCAGATGTCATTAGCGCATGTCGCCAGTAGGGGGTGCCAAAGCAAAAGTGAGAGCCTGGATTAGGCAGAAGTGCCTAATGTCATATTTTATATTAAATAAAGTATATTAAGAAATGAAAACTTGTCCTCATTTATTTGCTTGTTTGGTTTATGCACGTGACTATATTTAAAAAAAAAAAAAGGAATGCATTTTGTCCAGACATGTATGGCTGTTTGTTCCTTGTGGGTGGCTATTTTTTGTCATTTGTACCTTTTTATTTTAATTGCAGCAACTGAACAATGAACATATATAAACTCCTACATACTCTCTAATCAATACAATCACGAAAGGACCGTAGATACAGTTAGTTTAGTCCCTCTGAGCTCCTGATCTCCTGTGCAGCTCTAGCTAAGCAGTTCTGCAAGTGGTGAGGTTAGGTGCGCAACAGCGCCGTTCGTGGGCCGGTGTGGCCAAAGTATGTAACTGCAGGCTTCGCCGCGGAGGTGGAGACGCTACGAACTTTCTGGATTTTCTGGACGCAAATCTTACGCGCAAATCCGTCGTTTAGAGGTAAACCTGCACCGCAGCCCTCACCGTGTGCGCTGAAGGTATGCGAGGAGTTTGGGAAGTGGCTCTAAAGTGCCCTGTGTTTTTTATTAAACGCGCACAGTAACGTACGTGTTCGTAGCTACGGCGTGTTTTGTAGCTAGCTAGGCAGAAGTTGGCTTCCTATCCGCCAGCGTCTTATCCGAACTCTCCGTTCCACCTTAAACGGTGCGGCAGATCCATCCTGGAGCCTCGGCTCCAGAATGTAACTGCCACACGATTTAAGGTGGACCGGAGAGTTCGGATAAGACGCTGGCGGGTAGCTATTGTTACAATTACATCGCGACCAAAACCAAAACACAGGGCTTGTTCGATGCTGTATCGCTTTGTAGGTGAATCCTGGTTGTTTTTATCCCCCCTTTCACGTCCAGCAGGATAAGACGGTTGGTTTAAGGCTTTTTTTCGGTCTAAACTAAAGGTGTTTCGGTCCATCTTGTGTAGCTAACGTTACTCTAGCTAGCTGTATTATTTAACGCTAGCTAGCTGAGCGCGATGGCGCCTCACGCTGAGAGGCTGCTGTGTTGTGGGTGTTCATATCAGGACTCGGCGTTAATGTCTAGTTATTTCAGGTCAGTTTATACCAGTCAGGCTGCAGTTTTCCAGCCGGTTGACCTCTCTGTCCAGCGAATGAATGAAACTGACGGTTTAGAGATGCTTCCCTACACGCTTCCCTTCATCTCCGCAGGCTTTGGGGATGAATCTGAACTAAAGCTCGGCTAAAATTGTGGTTTTTTCCTTTTCTTACCGCTCCCAACTCCTCAGAGTCGCTGTCCGGCACTGGTAGTGAACGGCTGCTCCTCCGCTGAGGTGGTGGTGTGGTTTAAAGGGCCCATAACCTACATTTGGGTCCACTTAGAACATCTGGGTGGCAAAAAAAATAGCCTCAGTCCGATTTTACACGTCTGTATACTTCAAAAGGTTCTTCAAGGGTTCTTTTGTCTGTTCAGAACATGTGTAGAACCATTTTCATGCTTACTGGCTCTTTGCATTGTGAAATGGTTCTATACACAACCACATACAACACTCCCCTAAAATGTGGTTCTTCAAGGGTTCTTTGGTCTGTTCAGAACCACGAGCTCTGTGTAGAACCATTTTCGTGCTTAATGAGTCTTAGAATGGTGAAATGGTTCTATACACAACCATATGCAACACACCCCTAAATAGAAGAACCCTTTTTTGAAAATGTTCTATGCACAACCCTACACAACACACCCTTAAAATGTGGTCCTTCACAGGTTCTTTGGTCTGTTCAGAACCATGAGTTCTATGTAGAACCATTCTCATGCTTGAATGGTTCTTTGCTTGGTGAACTGGTTCTTCAGATTGATGGAGAATGTGTTGTAAATGGTTCTGTACAGCACCACCAAAAGGGTTCTGCCATTGTTACGATGTCAAGCTTGTAGCAATAGAAGAACCCTTTTTGAAAAGGTTCTATACACAACACACCTTTAAAATGTGGTTCTTTACAGGTTCTTTAGTCTATTCAGAACCATGAGTTCTATGTAGAACCATTTACATGCTTAATGGGTCTTTGTATGGTGAAATGGTTCTTCAGATCGATGGAGAATGTACTGTATAATGTGGAAAATGGTTCTATACGGCACCAAAAAGGGTTTTTTAAAAAAAGTATATAATATACAACACATTCTCCATCAATCTGAAGAACCATTTCAGCATTTAAGCATGAAATGGTTCTATACAGAACTCATGGTTCAATACAGAACCATTGCCTTTACTAAAGAACCCTTGAAGAACCATCTTTTTTAAGTGTGCATTTTACAGCCTCTCTAAATTGAACAGGCTGTTTTTGGTGCTGTGCCTTTAAGTGACCCTTATTAGTCCCACAGCGGGGAAATTTCACCTCCGCATTCTAACCAGTCCATGCAGTGAAACACCACATACACACTAGTGAACACACACTAGGGGGCAGTGAGCACACTTGCCCGGAGCGGTGGGCAGCCCGATCCACAGCGCCGGGGAGCAGTTGGGGGTTAGGTGTCTTGCTCAAGGGCACCTCAGTCATGTCATGTAAAGAAGAGCTCTGATTAAACTTTTCATGTAATTATATTTATTAAAACATGAATTACGAAATTCAGAAAAGAAGTTGTGTCTTAATCTGATACATTATTAAATGCAGGGAAAATAAGGAGCGGCCGAGAATGTTACTGAGTGCGTAAACATGCACTCAATAATCTGATCATAATCAGATTTCTGCAGTTATCTGATTATTCAGATGGTCATGTAAACACCATACTCCAATCTAGAAATCTGAATAAGAAATCCGATAAAGAGCCAACTTGCAGCTTTCTCATATCCAGACGCAGACTGAGAAATCCGAAAGAAATCAGAGTAAGAGCTTCCATACACTGAGAAATCTGATTACTAAGCTAAAATAAAGCTCTCTTTATCAGATTTCTTAATCGGATTTCTAGACCTTATTCCGATCTTAAAAATCAAAGTGTGCTGTTTAAATGGCCATTTGAGTACTTGGATAACTGCAGAAGTCTGATTATGATCAGATTATTGAGTACACTGTAGATCATTGAGTACGCTGTATTAGATGGGTGATTAAATTGGTAACCAATATTACAGCATTAATCGTGTGTAACTCATGTTTTACTCCCTTGCAGGTACCTGGCGGTCGCTGTGTGGGAGATCCGGCGTAAAGGCAGAGTAAGAATGTCCTCGTCTTCTCTGTATCTCAGCCAGGACAGCCTGGTCCGCTACAAAAAGCGGAAAGCCAACTTCACTTTCAGCGAAGTGCACATTCTGCTGGACGAAGTCCGGAAGAACCGGCACATTGTTGTGGGTGAGTGTCTGTGAAGGTTTAGTGTGTCGAGAGGTGAATTCAGCAAAGCGCTGTGACGTGAACAGCATTCCAACAAACACACAGGCAGTAGCAAGAAAAACAGCCTGGCATATCTGCAGTGCCAGAGTTTCAGCTGTGATCAAGCTAACAGTGCTTAGTGATAAAAGTGGGTTCAGAGCTGAGAGAATAGCACACTGTGCATCAAATCAGCTTAAAATATGATGGTAACATCACAGTTGGAACAAAATCTCATGTCTCCAAAATGGTATCTTTACAGAAAAAGGAAATAACCCTCTTAACTTTAAATGTAAGCGAATAAAATGAGATTTTTACCGGGCAACTTTTCAGCATTCCCATTGGTCCATTCATCATGGTTTTAACAGAATGTTAAAGCGAACTGTCCAGTAATGGAGATGAAGGGATTTGCTCCCATAGCGACAATATTCATCACACCATGAAATGATCTTTTAAAGAAGGCAGCACAAAAAAACGAAGTGTCAGTTAAGTGGGTATCAGTGATGAACAGTGACACATCTGAATCATCACAATCTGTAGATATTTGCTTAAAAAATTCACGGCACCGATGTTTAGATTTGGCCTATATTAAAACCGATATTGATTTATTTTGCCTTTGAAGAGCACGCTCTCAGCAAAAAGGGTTCTGTATAGTACCAAAAAAGGGTTCTTTGACTTGTAGTTATATTGGAACCCTTTTCAAAGAGGTTCTATATAGAACCATCTACAGCACATTCTCCACCAACCAGAAGAAACATTTCTCGATGCAAAGAACCTTAAATCATGTAAAGGGTTCTTTGAGTGTTCATGGTCCTATATAGAACCATTTTCTTGACTAAAGAACCCTTGAAGAACCTTCTTTTTTAAGAGCACAGAATGTTTAGGTGACGCTGGGTTACTAAAATATTTGCATTTTACTCATTTTACTGTATTTGTAAGCCTACAGAAGCAAATGTTTCTCTGTAATGCTACTCCAGGTACATGTAACCCCAGTTTTTATGTTTATATGTATCAGTATCGGCGTCAGCAAATATGTACATGAAAAATGCCGTCTTTGAGCATCGGATCACAATTCCCAGATTGATGCATTCCTGGTTACTCTGCATATTGCACAAAACAAAGTTGTTTGCCAGTCTGCATGTCATATAACACACACGGACCATAACTGAGTGTATACAGGAGTCTTTGGAATTTAACAACGGTAGTTTAACCAGACCATGCAAAATTGTAGTTTTTGAGGCAGCAACCGTCTTTCACACAGAAGCAGAAAAAGGCTGTCACTGAACTGATTTGCATATTAAAGGTCATATAGTAACAGATCATTAGTCTGACCAACTGAAAGCAGATTTGACTACTAAAATGTAAATGCATGTCATTAGAATCTGATCTTCCAGATGCTAGTTTTAATGTTTAAGGTGCAGATGGGGTCAATAATGGGTGACTGACATCCTTATTACAACCCCGCAAAAGTTCTGAAAAAGTTGAGACGCCATGCAAAATGTAAATAAAAACAAAATGCAATGATGTGCAAATCATTTAAACCCTATATTTTATAGAAAATATTACAAAGACAACATATCAAATGTTGAAACTGAGAAATTTTATTGTTTTTTTGAAAATTATTTACCCATTTTGAATTTGATGCCAACAACACGTTCCAAAAAAGTTGGGATGGGGCAACAAAAGGCTGGTAAAATTGTGTAATGCTAAAAAAAGCACCTGGTGGTTGATTGGCCACAGGTCAGTAACATGATTAGGTATAAAAAGAGCATCTCAGAGAGTCTTTCAGAAGTAAAGATGAGGAGGGTTCACCACTTTGTGAAAGACTGCACCATCAAATACTGCAACAATTCAAAAATAATGTTTCTCAACATAAAAAAAGCAAATAACTTCTGCTTTTAATCATCTACGGTACATAATATCGGTAAAAGATTCAGAGAAGCTGGAGAAATCTCTGTATTCAAGGGATGAGGCCAAAAACCAGTGTTTGCTGGCCGTGATCTTTGGAACCTCAGATGGCACTGCATTAAAAACAGACTCTGTAGTTAAAATCATTGCATGGGCTCAGGAACTCTTCTGAGAACCACTGTCTGTGAAAACAGTTCATCACTGCATCCACAAATGCTAGATAAAACTCTGCCGCCTTCTCTGGGCTTGAGCTCATTTAAAATGGACTGAGGAGAAGCGGAAAAGTGTCCTGTGGTTCGACGAATCAACACTTGAAATTCTTTTTGGAAATCATGAACACTGTGACCTCTGGCCTAAAGACCACTCAGCTTGTTATCAGTGCACTGTTCAAAAGCCAGTATTCATGATGGTATAGGGGGGCATTAGTGCACATGGCATGGGTGACCTGCATATCTGTGAAGGCACCATTAATGCTGAATGATATACATGTTTTGGCAACATATGCTGCCATTCAGACAACGTCTTTTTCAGGGAAGGCCTTGATTATTTCAGCAAGACAGTGTAAAATCACATTCTGCACGTATTACAACAGCACTGCTCTGTACTAAAAGAGTCTGGGAGTTACACTGGCCTGCCTGCAGTCCAGACCTGTCACCACTGAGAATATTTGGAGTGTTATGAAATAAAAGATACGACAAAGGAGTCTCTGAACTGTTAAGCAGCTGAAATCCTATATCAAACAAGAACAGGAAAACATTTCACTTTAAAAACTACAGCAATTGGTCCCCTCAGTTCCCAAATGCTTACAGAGTGCTGTTAATAGAAGAGGTGATGAAACACAGTGGTAAACAGGCCTCCGTCCCAACTTTTTTGGAACGTGTTGTTGGCATCAAATTTAAACTGGACATATATTTTTTCAAAAAACAATAAAATTTCTCAGTTTCAACATTTGATATGTTGTCTTTGTACTAATTTCCTTTAAAAATATGGTTTACATGATTTGCATGTCGTTGCATTCTGTATTCTGTGTCCAAACGTTTTTGGAAATGGGGTTGTGTATTAAAATGGTTTCTGTTTGTGTATTTAGGTAAGTTCAACTCCGGGGTCCCGTCTGAAGTGAAGAGAAGGAAGTGGGCGGAGATCACGGAACGCGTGAATGAGATTGGCGAGTGCGACCGGGAGGTCGGCGAGATCATCAAGAAATGGTCAGACCTAAAATGCGACACCAAACGCAAAATAGCCGCGCTGCACTCCGGTAGCATCCCGCACTCCGCGCTCGCTCAGGCCGAACTGTCCCCAACAGAGTGTATCGTAGAGTCTATCCTGGAACTGGACAAGAAGCCGTGGGAGGCGGCGCTACCGTCACGCTCTCGCAGCCGGAGCACCGACCAGGATGGGGGCGGCATAGACGACGATGACGACGGCGGCTTTTTGGGAATGAGCTCCGTTCACAGTTCCCCTGGGCTGGGGGTCGAGACGAGGACAATGCCCCCTCCAGCAGGGGGCGCTGCCAGTGCCGTTGAGGCGCAGCATGACGCTCCAAACGCTGCAGGTAAGGGGTACTAGCACTATACTTGTGTTCCCCATCAACTGGAAGGTCGCGGGTTCAAATCCCACAACTGACCAGGTGTACCTGGTTGTGCCTTTAGGCAAAGCACTTAACCCCCCCTACTACCCCAGGAGGTGCTGCTCTGTTGGCCATGCTGTGCTGCTTCCAGATTGGGCATAGTAGGATTGCTTGTGCGACTGTAAAGTATGGTTGAAGTGACACAAACCTGATTTTTTGACCTAATGGGACTCAGATCTGATGTTTTCAGGGCTGTGTGGACACAAATCTGATCTTTTCAAATCCGACCTGAGCCACTTTCATATGTGGTCCTAGATCAGATACGTATCCAATTCATGGCCATGCAACCTTAATGTGACGCTCAGATCGGAATTCATGTGCTTTTTTTCCACTGTGTTCTTGTGCCATCATTCAGTGTTACCATGGCAGCAGCGCCAAACAGAAGTTAAAGCCTGTAAATGGTGGAAAAGCAGCTCATCTCACCTTTTTCTCCTTCGTCTCGCTCTAATAATGAAGCTGAGAGCTGATCAGAGTTAATTATCTTCTCAGCGAAGCTCGTTCTGCTCGTTAGTCTGTTTGCTGATGATGCACTTGATTCATTCAGGTGACGTTACTGAGTAGGATGTGCACACGAGGTTCGTTCACAGTAATGACAGATTTGAATCAATTACCTAAACAAGTGTGAACCATAGTGTCAGAGAGATCGGATTTGAGCAGTGAGGCTTGTAATGTAAATGTATCTAAAGTGGCTCAGGTCGGATTTGAAAAGATCAGATTTGCGTGTCCACGCAGTCCTGAAAACATCAGATCTGAGTCACCTTAGGGCATAAAATCAGATTTGTGCCACTTCAACCTGGTAATGTGAACGCAGCCCTAGATTGCATACGTATACGTGGCCATGTGACCTTAATGAGAACGCTCAGTTCATCTGAGAGCTGTTCAGAGTTAATTACCTTCACACCGAAGGCTCGTTCTGCTCGTTAGTTTGTTTGCTGTTAATGACACACGATTCACGTGACCTTAGGATGTGTGCATGTGGGTCATTTATGGACGCAGGTTTGTTCACATTAGTGACAGATTTGTGTCCTAAACAAGTGTGAACCATCATGTTAGAGAGATCAGATCTGAGGTAAAAATCAGATTTGAGCAGTGAGGCATTTTTGCCATTATTACGTTACACTTGGACAGGTAAATATTAGGAAGTTCTATATCTCTAACAGTTTTTTCCTGCTATTTCAGACCCAGATTCCCGCTTGATGGACTCCGACGATGATCACCACGATGTCTTACCTTCCTCTTCGCTGTCGTCTGTAAATAACTCGTACGCAGAAGACGACGGGACTCTCATGGGCGCCAACATAGCGCACGTCTCCTCCTCTACTAACCACGCCCCCAGACAACAAGCCCCGCCCACCATGGCAGCAGAGCCAGACGGTGCTCGCGAGCAGTTAGCGCAGAACGCCAGCCTGAGTGTGCAAGAGCAGCACACCACCAACGCTCTGCTGGCCACCGTGTCCCGCTCACTGGAGCTGCTGGCCGAGTCGGTGCAGCAGCTGGCCGAGACGCAGCAGGAGTTCGTGCGCGAGTCGCTGCAGCTGCAGCGGGAAACGGTGCAGGTGCTGCGGGAGTTCGCCACCGGAGCGCTAACGCTGCTGCACGAAAAGGTCAACGGGAAGCCGCCGCTGCTGTAAGGATGTAAATGTGAAAGAGCTTCACCGAGGAGTTTTGTCTTCAGGCTCGGACGCTACGTTGTGCCGACCACAGAACGGGAACGACGCTGCTGCAGTAAAGGAAGGAGGGACTGCGCTGCTGCAGCCAAACAGCTGTTTGTTTAATGGAGTGGTTTGACAAGAAGTCAGATTTTCATGTTTTCCTCTCTTACCATAAAACAGCGGATCAGTCAAGACATGATCGGTGTCTGAAATTTGCTTCTTTAGTTTTGCACTAGATCTGTGAGGATAATGCAGATTCAGGCTATTTGCACAAAGCTGGCTGTGAAGCTCTGAACTTGCATTGTTTGTTTAACGTTAAAAAAGTCCCTACTTTTTAAATGTTAAAGCCATTTAAGTGAAGGAGCTTAATGTGGTACACTCTTGGGAAAAAAAAAGGTTCTTCAAGGGTTCTTTAGTAAAGAAAATGGTTCTTTATAGAACCACGAATGCTAGAGATAGATAGTTCTGTATGGAATCTTTTTGGTAAGGGTTCTATATAGCACCCAAAAGGGTTCTGCTGTTGTAACAATGTCAAGTTTCTAACAATAAAAGAACTCTTTCTGGTGCTATATAGAACAGTTTCTAAAAAGATTCTATATAGAACCATCTACAGCACATTCTCAATCAATCTGAAGAACCATTTTACTATATATATATAATGGTTCTTCTATGCTGTAGACTGGGGTTCGATCCCCCACCTGCCCAAGCCCCCTACACTATACCAATAAGAGTCCTTGGGCAGGACTCCTAACACTACCTTCGCCTGCCTGTGTAAGATGATCAAATTGTAAGTCGCTCTGGATAAGAGCATCTGCCAAATGCTCTAAATGTAAATGTAAGGAAAAGAAAATTCAAGAAAAATGTAGGATATGTGCCTAAATTCACAGCTCCAGTGCAAAACTAAAGAAGCAGACTACAGACGGCAGATGTTTTGGCTGGTCGTTTAGGCTTCAGAGGGGCGACTGAGTAAATCTTTGAAGTATGTATCACTTTAAAGATCCTGCACTGCTGTAGGAACGGTGGGGTCCTTCATTGTGACCCAGTGGTCACCAACCTCCTTCTTCTTTACTGCAGAGTTTAACTCCAACCTGCAACTAACATGCTGCCCCCTCCTTACGTAACACTAATGCATCTGATCCAGCCAATCAAAGACTTGTGAAGAAGCTAATTAGCTGGAACAGGGTTGGAACAAGACTCTGCAGGAAGGTGGATCTCCAGGGCCAGGCCTGGTGACCTCTGTTCTAGACATATGAAGGCTTATACAGACATTGAATCCAACTTTTCTGACCAAAGAGGAGCGCAAATCTGAATTACAGTCACGTTTGTTAAATCTGGGCTTGTTTTAAATGAATATTCCAGATTTCTTCAGCCTAATGTCTAGTTTTACCGCATGGTCAGTTACCATGTGCAAGAGTTTCCTGAGATTGTCTCAAAGCTGATCTTACTCAGCTTTCAAACACTAGAACAGCTCAGTAAACAGAGTTTTGGTTACTTTCACTTTCTCTAAGGTCGGCCGGTGTCCGTGCTGATCATCGCTGTCGTTTGGAAATATATACAACAAATTCTTCGCTCCGTCTCTAAAGTACAAAAGATTTGAAGCTTAAATTACAGATTCCTTTAACTGACGAAATTCACAAATGTTTTCTACAGACACAGAGTCGTATGCAAAAGTTTGGGCACCCCTGGTCGAATGTCATGTTTTGTTGAGTGATAATAAGTGAACACGTCCTCTACAGAGACGCACTTCAGCACATTTTAATGCATAGTTACTGACTGCGTTTACATGCACTCAATAATCCGATCATAATCGATATCCGCAGTTATCTGATTATTCAAATGGTCATGTAAACAGCATACTCTGATTTCTTAAATCGGGGTAAGGTCTAGAAATCCGATTAAGAAATCTGATAAATAGGCTGGAATTTAGCTCAGTAATCAGATTGCTCAGTGCATGTGAACTCTTACTCTGATTTCTTTCGGATTTCTCAGTCTGAGCATGTGTGAAAGCAGACGGCAGCACCGGAAATAAGCAAGCAGCATCACTGTGAGATGCAGCAAAACGCTTTTGGAGCAGCGCTGAAACCAACTACATGCTTGATGAAATGTAGGGTTTAAACATTCTTCATCTTCTAAATGATGTATGTTCATATTTTTTAGGTAAAGTGGTGCGATGTTTTAAGAAACAGCCACATCATGAAGTTAGAGTTTTGCATTTACGTCACATTTTCTTCTGTGAGTTTAGTTTCTGGTTGCGAAGCAGAAATCCAATCACTGTCTGACTCATGTAGATCTGGAGTTTTCCATTATCTGATTACCCAAGTGCATTTAAACATACTGAACCAGTTACTGACACGATCTGATTTTCTACAGTTACCGGATTATTAAGCGCATGTAAATGCACTCACTGTTTATTTTACATAATAGTAGAATAGTAAAACAGTGTAGTCTGTGCAAAAGTTACAGCACATTTTCTGTTATATGTTTCGTTTTTCTACTGTGTTAAACTCATCAAATGAATAGAATATGTCGTCACTTATCACTTAGTATGTATTCTATTTTTTCACAGTTACCTCAGAATAAAGTCGGTCACACCAGTGACTTCAGCTAAAAGCTTCATATGAAATCATGAGCTAAATGAGAAAATCTCTGATAACTGAAAGACACAGTGGACTTCCCGGTTCCCATATTGGTGCATCTGTTTGATAAGATAGCGATTCGGATGAAAAACACTGGAATATTCCTTTTAACACAAAGTGAGCTGGTACTCGACTGACTCGAGTCGTCGCTCTCAGGCATGACCTGCATAGTCGACTGATTTCTCCACCAATAAAAGGAAGGCGTTCAGGAGGTTTGATGTTGTCTGTAATTTATGAGGGTCAGTTTTTGTTTTAGCCGTTTGTGGCCCGTTCTGGTCGTTGTGAATACGACCCCCCCTGCCTTACAGGACGTTATGGCTGGGGTGCTGAACTCCAGTCCGCTCTGGAGAGAGAGTCACGGCTCTGCCCTGACTAGTCGGTGGGTTGAATCTGTGCTGGAGCAAGAAAAACATGAGACTTCAGTCCTCCTGGACGGACTCGCCCGTGCCTGAGTGACCTGCCGGGGTTCCAGGTGAAGAGGACGCGATGCTGCTCTTGTGTAAAGTCTAGATTTTATGTTGTTTTTATTCACGTTTGCATAACACAAATCATCTTTATTAAGCCTTATAATGCACACGGCTCTGATGCAGAAAGGATACTACAGTTTAGCCAGTCGTCATGACAACTGCCTTTTTAACATGGTTGTTTTTTTGTTTTTTCGCTTTTGCACAGATGAATGATGTTCATGTCTGTTTTACTAACCTGCTCAGTGAGTTTAGAAGGAGAGTTTAGCATAAAATCAACTGATTAGCCAAAACATGTTTGGTGTCTGAAGGCTTGTTTACAGTCGTATGTTAAAGTTTGAACACACCTGGTCAAATTAGGGGTTTTGTTGATTTCCTGAATATAAATTAGTGAAAACATCCTCTGCAAAAAACAGTCTTATGCACATTTTAATGCACATTACTGTTTGCTGGATTTAACATATTAGAAAAAAAAAACATAAAATGTGTACGGAGCCCCGCTGGTGACATAACTACAAATAACGCATGGCCATAACTTAGTAAGGTGTGGGAACGAGATCCTAATGCATGGCCACAACTTAGTTAGTCATGGGAATGAAATAATTAAGTTGTGCCCACAACTTATTAAGGTGTCGGAACAAGATCATGCCTGACTGAGTCCTGGCCTCACATTAGGATCTCGTTACCACGCCTTACTAAATCGTGGCCACGCATTATGATCACGTTCCCACGCCTTACTAAATTGTGTCCACGCATTAGGATCTTGTTCCCACGCCTTACTAAGTCATGGCCACGACTTAGTTATCTTGTTCCCAAGCCTTACTAAGTCGTGGCCACTCATTATTTTTGTTTATACAGGAAGTCACCAGCGGGGCTCTGTAGGTCTGTGCAAAAGTTACAGCGCACTTAGTTTTTCACGCCAATGTGTTAAACTCAGCAAATAAATAGAAACTGTGCAGTAAAATTGCAAATAGACGCATATTTAAGTGTGAAAATCAACAAAAAATCTAATTTGACCAGGTTTGTTCAAACTGCATACGACTGTTTGTGGTTTGTACCAAATTCCAGCCTACAGTGTGGCTGTTTCTGTGCTCCTCAGCTGTGCCAGTGTTCATAGATTACAGTGGGTCATACAGTGTCAGGAACCACATAATGAAGTCTGTTAGAGATGAACGACTCCGTTTGATTTGCACAGTGCTGATTGTGATGCAGCTCACTTGTTAGCTGCATTAGCTTTGTAGCTACATTAGCATTTGTAGCTACATTAGCTTTGTAGCTCCAGTGCAAAAACTGAAGAAGCCACCAAACCTGACTTGGTTGATTGTATTTGGGGTAAGAGTGAAAACTGGCGCTTTAAGTCTGCTTTAACTTTCAGGATCTGCTCTGTTCTAGTTCGACTGAAACCGTATGGCTGGAATCAGGAGTGTGATGTGGCAGATGTTCCTGCTGTGAATCAGGAGAACGTTCTCCGGCCTTTTCTAATGCAGAACATAACGTTACTGATGTGATCAGGTACATTTTTTGTCATTTTGGACATTTTTTTTTGTATTTACAACCTTGTTTTGTGTTTATGTTTGTAATGTAAACATTCAGACCCCAGTGTGTTCAACCAACAGCCGTGTTGTTAACGGAAGCTAGTTGAGCGTCGAAGGGGAAGTTTTTATGTTTTGTCCCATATATAGTAAAACTGCAGATGGTAGAATTGTTAAATATGTAAATAAAATGTCACACTTTGATAATAATCGGCTTCTTGTGGCTTCTTGTTCTTTAGATGTTTTAATTATATGATTATATGCCTAATTACATAGTTATATACTAAATTTAATTTATATGTAATATACACTCTATATCTATTAGAAATGAACCACTATGGTAGTTGTGGACTGATGTGACATGTACAGATCTGCTAATGCTGATAAACAAATATTTATAAAATGTAGAAACTGGGATCAGAGAAATATAAAGTTTATTTCTGTAATGTTACAAACGCAGTTAAATGAATAAAAAGCAGATATTTTAGTGCAGAACCAGCATCACCAAACACATCTGTTTGAAACAGTGGTCAGATCTAAACATCTGTCTGGCGATATGGATTTGATTCCAATATTATGCTTCGCTAGTGTCTTTCACTTTGTTTCAATGTCAAAAAATGACAAAAACATGAAAAAAATTAATAAAAAAACGTTAAAAACAATAACTTTGAATGTAATTCACATCATAATGAAACATCTGTACTTCCAACTCACAGATGTGGAATGGATTGACAGTTTAATGCACTGAAGCTGCACTTTCAATGGAATAATTCATCACAAATTACAAAATGTGTCCAGTAGAGGGCAGTAATGCGCTTAAGATCGCCACACTCTCTGGCCACTTTATTAGAAACACCTACCTTGTACATCCACTCACTGGCCACTTTAT